CTAGTACGATTGCATTACTCTACAGATTGAATGCAGTCTGCATCAAAATCTTAGCTGGCTTTTGGGGTTTTTTTGCAGAAATTGATAAGCTGATTCTAAAATTTACATGGAAGTTCAAAAGGTCCAAAATAGATAAAAAAATAACCTTTAAAAATGATAAAGCTGAGGACTCCCACTTTCTGCTCTTAGAAATTCCTACAAAGCCGCAGCAGTGAGGACAGTGTGGCACTGGCACAGGGGTGGGTGGAAAGACCAGTGGCATAGAATTGAGAGTCCAGAAATAATCCCTCACATTTAAGGCCCATTGATTTTGGGCAGGGTTGCCAAGACCATTCACTGGGGGGAATAGCCCTTTAAATGGGTGGTGCTGGGATACCTAGATGTCGACATGTAAAGGACGGAAGTTCGTTTTTTACTTTACGCTATACACAAAAATTGGCTCAAAATAGATTCAGGACGTCAGTGTAAGAGCTAAAACTATATTAGCTTAAAGCTTTGTGACCTCGCATCAGGTCGTGATATGACACTGGAAGCACAACCAACCAAAGAAGTAGGTGTAATGGCCTCTATCAAAAGAAAAAACTTCAGCCCTGGCTGGTGTAGCTCAGTGGATTGAGCACGGGCCTGCGAACCAGACAATCGCGGTTCGATTCCCAGTCAGGGCACATGCCTGGGTTGCAGACCAGTTCCCTGCAGACCAATTCCCAGCAGGGGACGCATGAAAGGCAACCATACATTGATGTTTCTCTCCCTCTCTCCTTCCCTTCCCCTCTAAAGATAAATAAATAAAAAAATCTTTAAAAAAAAAAGTTTTTTAAAAAAAAAAAAAAAAAGAAAAGAAAAAACTTCAGCACTTCTAGGGATGCTGTCTCAAGGCAGTGAATAAACAGCCAGCTGAGTAGGAGAATATATTTGCAAATCATATCTGATGAGGGCCTAGTATCCAGAATATATAAAGAACTCTTATAGCTTAACAATAAAAAGATGAATAACAAAAGGATTGGAATAAACTTTTCTCCAAAGATACACACATGGCTGATAGGCACGTGAAAAAATGCTTTATGTCATTAGTCATCAGGGAAATGCAAATCAAGACCACATGAGATGCCACTTCACACCAATAGGATGGTTGTAATAAAAGAGAAAATACCAAGCACTGGTGAGGATGTGTAGAGATCAGAACCCTTATGCTGTATGACGCTGGTGGGAATGTGAAAGATTCTGGTGCCTTGGACAACAGTCTGACAGTTCCTCAAAAAGGTGGTAAAGCCGCCTCGTGACCAGCAGTTCTGCCCGTCTGCTATACGCCCAAGAACTGAAGGCATGCCCACACAAAAACTTGTGTCCATTAATCATAGCAGCGTTATTCACGATGGTTAATTCATCAGAGCCCTGACTGGACAAACCCATACAGACAGAAGGTAGATTAGTAATTGCCAGGAGTTACGAGGGGGTGGAATGGGAAATGTCTGCTAATGGGCACTGAGTTTTTTAGGGTAATGATTAAAATAATCTATAATTAGATACTGGGAATGGTTGTACAACTTTGTGAATATAGTAAAAAAAAAACAAAAACCCAAAAACCAAAACCAAGTAACTTACTTTAAAACAAGAATTATACTCAATTTTAAAAAATCATATAGAAATGAAAACAGATTGAGCTCTGATCTAATTTATTGTCAAGCCATGATATTTTGACAGTGAGGGGCCTTGCCTAATAATGGCACCCTCACAGTGGACATAAAGCTGGTGTTCCAGGTAAACCAGAATGCCTGTTCTCCTTCCTCCCTTGAGTGTTTAAACTGAACAGAAGAATGAGGGATATGAAACCCTTGTATCTTTATCAAATACGGCAAAAAGAGAAAGGCCAAGAAAGCCGTGTAAGTCAAGGGAAAGGGAGAAAAGGTACCTCTCGGTGGAAATGAACATGAATGTGTGTATCACATGCCATCAGGAGTTGACTCGTTTGTGTGATTCTTTGTCACTTCACTCTCACACGTAGCCAGTGAGTGAGTGAGTGGTCCAGTGCTGTGCTGCGATAAAGCAGCTCCTTGGAACTGGGTGTGCATCATCATCATCATCTGCAGAGCTGGGGCATTAGTCTCAGTTAGGGTTCAAGAGTTTCATTGTGGGGCCAGGGTAAGTTCATGAATGAAAAATATGTTTTCACTTCTCAGTTGGATCCAGTATCCACTTAAATTGAGAGACACTGCATTCCATCAGTGGATTTTATTGATCCATTTATTGAAATATGCACTTATTATTTTGTGCGTAAATAGTAAACAGCAGTAGGGTTGTGAGAACCGCTGTCTAGACTATACCCACTCATCATTTTCTTTTCAGGATCAGCCTGTGGGTAATCCAGAAATTGTGATTCATCAAGGATCACAGTGGTCATGTTAATTCTGCAAGATTGATAATAAGGAATCTTTTAAAAAAATATTTATATATTTTTAGAGAGAGAGGAAGGGAAGGAGAAAGAAGGAGAGAAACATCAATGTGTGGTTGCCTCTCACGTGGCTCCCACTGGGGGAACTTGGCCTGCAACTCAGGCATGTGCCCTGACTGGGAATTGAACCAGCAACCCTTTGGTTCACAGCCCGCGCTCAATCCACTGAGCTACACCAGCCAGGGTGATAAAAAGGAATCTTATTATTTATGTAGTTTTTTTTTTGTTTTTTTTTTAGGTTATCTAAGAGTAGTAGTGGGAAGTAGGTTGAAGCTGAGTTCCTTTGTGGGTACTTGAAACTATACTCATGACAGGCAGGGAAGGGCATCAGCACTGCTGTACGTAGCAGGAGGGACTGGGCAATGGAGACCTTGCAGGAGGTCAGAACTCTCTGAGCGGACACCTGCCCGTGGCCTTTCTGTTTTGACAGCCCACTGTGGCCTCTGATAACTTGCCCTCTGGGGGCAGTGGGGCCGGGGGAGGACATAGTGCAATGCTGTGGTCCTTTCACAGCTTCAGTTTCTCCTGTGCATCCACGTATGATTTAATGGAAATTACATTAGTATTCTGCTGTTGAAGTAGCATCAACTCATTAAATGGGAGTTAGGTGGCTCTTGAAGATTTTGAAGTTTAGTTTATTTAGTGATGGATCATGTCCATCCAGAAATGTCTCTGACAGTTTTGACTGATAGCTTTTCTTCAGCTACTGCTTAACAGTTCCAGTGGTCATTCTGATGGTGGCTAGATGGGAGGGGAGTTGGGGGGATGCGTGAAAAAGGGGAGGAGATTAAGGTGCACAAATCGCCAGTTATAAAAAAACAAGGAATGCAAAGTGTAGCGTAGGGAATACAGTCAACAATGTTGTAATAGCTGTGTGGGATTCTAGATTCACCAGGGTGATCACTCTGTAAGTTACATGGATGTCTAATCACTGTGCTGTATACCTGAAACTAATATCATATTGTATGGTAACTATAATTGAAAAATAAAAAAAACATTAAAAAACAGCATCAGTGCTGGTACTATATTGTAAAAATGAAACATGGCATTAGAGCCAAAATTTCAATGCAGCCCCCTTGTGTGGGGCTGCATGAATGGTACTTTTGGCCTCCAGTCCCTTCCTCAGGAAATGGAGCAAATGCTGATGACCTCACAAGGTCCATTTACTATAGCAACAAAAGAATAAAATGATTAGGAATAGATTTAACAGAAGTATGACACCTGCACACTGAAAACTACAAAACGTCATTGAAAGAAATGAAAGAAGAGCTAAGTCAGTGCACAGGCAGGCTGTGTTTATGGACTGCAATACTCAATACTAGTACGATTGCATTACTCCACAGATTGAATGCAGTCTGCATCAAAATCTTAGCTGACTTTTGGGTTTTTTTTTTTTTTTTTTTTGCAGAAATTGGTAAGCTGATCCTAAAATTTATATGGAAGTTCAAAAGGTCCAAAATAGATAAAAAAATAACCTTTAAAAATGATAAAGCTGAGGACTCCCACTTTCTGCTCTTAGAAATTCTTACAAAGCCACAGCAGTGAGGACAGCGTGGCACTGGCACAGGGGTGGGTGGAAAGACCAGTGGCATAGAAATGAGAGTCCAGAAATAATCTCTCACATTTAAGGCCAGTTGATTTTGGGCAGGGTTGCCAAGACCATTCACGCGGTTCTTGGGCCTGTAAGTGAGACAGCATGCCCTAACGTCTAACACGCTGTTGGCACGTGCTGGCGATGGATAGAGTGTTACTCACCTCCCCTTTTCCACTGGTGAAGAACAACTGACAACCTTCAGAAGGATGGCTCTCAGAGTTTTCAGAGTTCGGGGCCTGAAGTCTTTCTTGTGCTTTGATTGCTTTCGTTCATTAACTAAGCAACTGTTTATTGAGCTTCTGTTTTTGGTTAGGCCCTTGGGTAGCTGCTGGAGTTATAGGGGCAAAATATGGTAGATTTGATCCTCTTCATCACTGAGCTCACAATTTGGCAAGGGGTAGGGGAAATTAAACATTTCATTGTGCAAGTGATTACATTACAGTTGTGGTAAGTACCATAAAGGAGAAGCGGGGTGTTCTCTGAAGTATGTTAGGAGTCCTAAGATAGTTTGGGTTAGGGAACATTTCATGGAGGAAATGTGGTAATACTGAGACATGAAGACTCTATTAGGACTCTTAGTGAGGGGATGTGCTTGGGAGGAGACCTCAGGAGAGGTGGCCAGCTGACAGTGTGTGTGAAGGCCCTGCAAGGAGTTAAGAGCTTCCTGAGAACAGAAAGGCCTGTGCCTGAAGCTTGCTGAGCGAGAGGCAGAGAGGCAGAGACAAGATTAGACAGGACTTTGTAGGTCACATTCAGGGCTTGGATTTAAGAACAGTGGTGACATTCTGGTATCTGGATTTTTAGTTTTAACTTTTTTTTTTTTTTTGAAAATTTTATTTTTAGAGACTAGAGGGAAGGGCGGGACATTGAGAGGGAAACATCAATATGTGATTGCCTCTTGAACGCGCCCCCTCTGGGGACCTGGCCTGCAACCCAGGTGTGCACCCTGACTGGCAGTCGAACCAATAACCCTTTGGTTCATAGGCTGACTCTCAGTCCACTGAGCCACACCAGCCACGGGCCGGTATTTAGATTTTAAAATTGCTCTAGCAAAAATGGGGAAATTGGATTGGAGAGGAATAAAAATGCCCACTGAAACCAGTTAGTGGATGGTTGCAAAGCCTAGGCCAGGGTGGCAGTGATGGTTTCGGGAAGTAGAGTCCTATGCTGCCAGTGGGAACCAGATCTTGTAGTCACTTTCTTCTTGTGGGCAATGTGGACTCAGTGGAGATTTTATAAATAGGAGTGATTTGGCTACGTAGGATGTTTAAACTGGGCAGGAAAGGTGTCAGTACAGGAAAGGCTTGGTTTTTAAAAACGTTGGATTTTTTAATACCTGTAGGACACCCAGGGAGAGTAGTGGAGAGTGTGGTTGGAAACACAGGGCCCGTTAGGCTGGTGATTTCACTCTGGTGTCCAAATGGTGGCCAGGGCCTTTGCAGGAGGTTGGTGACCCGAGTACCTGGTATTTGTCCTTTATGCACATTTCACAACAGTTTGGATGCACCTGCTGTGATTTTCTTACCATTTGTAAACTTACTTATGCTGCATACAACACTAAGGATTTTATGTTACCTCTTTAATTCTCACAAGTGTCTGAGCATCAGTTAAGACATGATGTCTTTGAGACGTGGCACCTGAAGCTTAGGGAAGTGAAGTAACGAAGGTTAGCTGTTAACAGGGGTGGAGCTGAGAACCCAGGCGGGCTCACTGCAGCACCTGTCCTCTGAACCGCTACCAGATGCCACTCCTCCTCGACATCTGACCCGACAAGTAAGCAAGGCAAATAAACAAGACGGAGAGGGACTGAATGAGAACGCGTTTATTGACCTTTGATGGACTTGTGTGTGCTTTGTGTTGCTTGTGCCTTAGGTGCGTTAGTGTACTTTCTCATTTACCTTAATATTTACATGTTCTGTGATGTATTGGGTATCTGCTCTGCTTTAAAAATGCAGAAACTGTGTCCCAGACAGCCTGAGTGACTTACTTGGTGGAGATCCTTAATAGCTGGTTAATGGCAGAGCTGGGATTTAAAATGGGCCCTTTCACTCCAAGGTGAGTATATTTTCTATTCCATCACTTAAAAATAAGAGTTGTGTGTTGACCTAAAGATGAGAACGTTTTCCTTGAGGAACATGATGGATTTAATGGTTCTATACCAAACTACAGGCTTGTTCTTACAAATAAATTGTAGATCATCAGTGTTCAGGATTAGACATTGCATTTCAAGCATAAACCGCTGAACAAATTGGAATACTTAAAAAAACTTTTATATCTATACAAAGTAAATATTTTTAGAAGAGATAAAATAGGAAGGTGTTATCTAACAAATTCATGTTTATTTTTTAATATCTTTGAAGAAATGAGACAAAATCACAATATTGATGTATTCAGTGGCTGTTTTTAAAAAATTCTTATTTATTTTTAGACAGAGGGGAAGGGAGGGAGAGAAACATCAGTGTGTGGTTTCATCTCACGTGCCCCTCACTGGTGACCTGGCCTGCAACCTGGGCATGTGCCCTGACTGGGAATTGAACTGGCCACCCTTTGATTCACAGCCCACGCTCAGTCCACTGAGCTACATCAACCAGGTCAATGGCTTTTTGTAGATTGTAGATAATTGTTAGCATTTGTATAGGACAGCATCTTGATTTTGCTTAATTCAGTCAGTCATTTAATTTTCTTCTTTTTGTTTCCTTTTTAATTTGAGAGGACAATTGAAAATTAATGAGGTAACATAGCATAATGTATTTTTAATATTGGCTTCTTGTGGTACAGGAATTCAAGACTTCCATATTACCAGTGCTTGTTAACTGCCTGCTGGATCTCAGTGAGAGGCAGTTAGCTTAGTATTAACAGCATAGCTCCTTCTTCTGGATCTGACTTTGGGATAAATAATGTTTACCCCAATGAGCCTTCTGCAGAAAGACTAGTGTGAGGCAGTCTTAGGAAAAATCACCTGTCATCTGCCTTCATTGTTTGGTGCTGTGAATTGATAAGGTGGAGTGTCTCTTGGATACTGAATGCCTGTAAAGTCATTCTAGGTTGAGGTTTCTTTGGGTTGCTGAGCTGTAGCCACGCGCATTCTTATCACAGTGAAGGTGAAACCCCGTCTCACTTGGCCAGCAGAGCCTGTCTGGAAAAGATACTGAACTTTGACTGGGTGGCTGGCTGTGTGAGCATTTTGAAGCAGTTTTGTAAGGTTCTTGAGAATTTTAGGAAGCAGTGAGTAGCTGAGTCGACAAGCTGTTCGACTGCCTCCCCCTTTATCTTTGTTACAGTCATTTATTAGTTTGCCTGCTTTCTAAATATAATTATGACCTGTGTATATTAAAAGGATCGATGGCTCCTCTGTGAATGCCGGCTTCTATCGCCCCGCACTGCCGTTTAGCAGCTTTTCATTGTGTTCATTTCACACACCATCATTTCTTGTAAAGACTGCTGCACTGAGTACCTGTAAGATACCAAATAGCTTTTGTTAGAGCCACATAGGAAACTCTTTCATTTTTAAGTCTCTATGTGTGTTTCACTATATGATTTATATTTATTTACAAAGCATTTTCATTTTCTGTGTTTATCATCTGTTTTCATTTGGAACATTTTGGTCTTATGACCATGTGTACATCTCTTTTACATCTAAAAACAAAAAAATAGAATGAAATGATAGATCATGGAAAAATGTTTGTGATTTGGCATGAAACTAACCTGCCTGAAACATTTAAAAATGATCTGTAGTATTCTTATCCTTTTGGGAACAGATTACAGTCCACTCTTAAACTGTCTGCACGTGTGTGTCAGGCAGGATGCTTTCTGCTGCAAGTGATGGAGGGGCTGATTGAGCAGTGAGGGTCCGACCATCTCATCTGACAAGAAGGTTAGGGTTAGGGCAGTTCCTGCGTCGGTGAACTTGGGTCCCTCTTCTCTATCTTCTCTGGCATTTTCATGTTCTGCTATTTCATTCTAAGTTTCTGCAGTGGTCCTTCCCTACTGGCACAGTCCCTAGGCAGTGTGGTTGACCTGGACTGCGTCAATGCCTGTGGGGGAGGAAAAAGCGGTCGACTTCTTTGCTCTGGACTACTCCTGAAGATCCCAGTTTATTTTCTGTTTCATCTTTTATTTTCATTGTTGAAACTGAAGGAACGTGAACTATCTTCTAAGTATCTGATGCTTATTTTTAAATTACATATAGACATCAAGGAAAATGAACATTAAAAAAAGAATAGAGAATAACAAGTGTTTCTCTCTGTAGTCAGTAGTCCCTCAGACAGTAAAGAATCCTGTCAATAAATCCAGTCCACTTATTATGATGTCCATGGTATAACATTAAAACATGTTATTCAAACAAAAATAAATTCTGTTGGTGAAAATCTGATGTATCTAATTATGAACTTTGAATCCAGGTAAATGAAAAAATGATTCCTCCTTTCATAAAAGAAATCAGTTTTCTTCCAGATAACCAGTTTTCTCTTATTATAAATGTGAATTTTTGTAGGTTTATAATATCTGATGAATTTCTCTAAATATCTTACTAAATTTGCAAAATTTTAAATTGATCTTTGCCTTTTAGATGTTCCCTAGGTGGCAGCCACGCCTAGGCTGGCTTCATTAATTTTATGGGTTTATTCCAACCCCAGCAAATGGGTACTGGGGGTTGGAATAAACTGCGTATTAATATGAAGTATAACTTCTAAGCACCTGTGATGCCAGGTGCTGAATAGGTGCTTTATGTTTAGAAACCGTCACGAAATTGCGTGTGAAATTTCATTGTTCTCGTGTGCAGATTTGAAAATGAAGGGCGAGAGAAGTTTACACTCTGGAGATAGTGCCCCAGAGTCCCGTATCTCATAAATAACCGACGCCTGGAAAGTGGACAGAAACTTGTGTTCGTGTGTCTCCAAGGGAGGACTCTCTCACGTCTTCGGTTTTGGCCCCTGCCTTTGGTGTGAGCACATGGGCCAGGTTCGTGGAGAAGAACGCAGTCCCCTCTGTCTGGGGACTCCAGAGGTCCTAGACTGTCATGCCAGCCCATGCAGCTTTTAAGAATGTGGTAAGCTGTATGCGGATTCCTTCTTACCAGCTTTTGTGGTAGAAGCTTGTAGTCTCAGAGAGATCTGTTGGCCTTTGGAATTCCATCCACATGGCTGCCTTGCAAACCTTAGCTCTTTGATAAGTTCAAGAAAGGTTATGCTTTGTAAACTGTTCGGCTCTTTCTCTCGGTTAGGATAGGAGCAGTGTTATCTTGAGGCTTGTTAGTGTCCTTGGCTGAAGTCCTGCGTCGTTTATCCTGGAGCAGTGCAGGGGTTAGAGAATCACAGTCGGATAGAATGGAGACACACAGGAATTTCTTAGGGTGCATTTGTTCGTCGTTATATGAATTAATATTGGCCCTATCAAGAATAAGTTGTTGTCTTGATGTCATTTAGGAATGAAAGGCAGGATTCCGTTAGGAGTCCTCTTACTGTCCATCATGGCCACAGATGTGTTAGGGGAATGAAGCACGGTAAAGATTTTGTTCCGCGGTCTTTTTACATTCCATGCCTGTCTATAGAAAACAACGACTGTAACCTGGGATACGCTGTGGAGCTACATTACTCGTATGGAGATGGATAAGTCTTCTGTGCTTTTGATATAGTTACTGTATTATAGCTTACATATAACTAAACACTGAAGCACTTGATGTTATATTCCTTATCCTTGGCTATACTGAAAATATATGTATTTTCTCTCTCCTTGAAGTCAATAAATACATTTTCAGATAAACAGGGCAAATTTCACTGATTAGAAGTACTTTTTTATGGTCTTGTTTGTCCTAGTGTCTGCAAATCTAATTATCTTGAAAGTGTGCAAAGTTTTTACCTTTTGGGGGTTGTCCTTCTCACTAATAAATTTTTGGACATGAGACCCTTGCCTGCATGAGAACCGTGTAAAACATTTGGTCTTGCCGTTATCCGCCCCACTTGTTTTCCTAACCAGCTCTGGTGCTTGGGGAGGGCTTCCTGTGTCTCTGGCTGCCTCGTACTTGTGTGGAATAGAAGGAGACTGGGATGCACGTCTGTTTGTAAATTATTGAATAGTGAGCATTATAAAGTAACATGAAGGCTTAGGAAGAATGTTTAATGCAGACAGGTGTTATTAATGAGAACCATTACCTTGATTTTCTGTTAATTCACAGATGGGGAATTTTCCCCCATGCTTCTCTGACCAGCGAAGTAAAGTTGGACAAGCATAACCTTTGCTCCCCTAATAACATCTTTAATAACTAGATGTCCTTCCACTTCACACAGCATCATTTTGATGACGATTTATGTTGTCTGCATGCTATTCACAAAGATAAAATTGATCTTTGTTCAGTAGAGGTTATAATTTTCAAATGATAAAGATTTCATTTTTAGAAGGGTTTTATGAATATTAGCTAGAATCATGGGATGTTGAAGCTGCCGTATTGGCTAGCATTTACACAACATTTTATATCTGCTTGCCACTCTGATGAGAATTTTATGCCTATTAAGAGGTAGATGGACATCAAGCCTCTGGATACGATACCCTAGGAAGGATACAGGTGTTTTTGCTGGGAACTTAAATGTGAGGAAATATCAGACAAACCTAAATTGAGAAATACTATGTAGGAAAACTGGCTTGTATTTTTCAAAATGTCAATGTCATGAATGCCAAAGGCCAAGAAATGTTTCTAGAATAAAGAACACCAAAGAGACGGACAACTCAATGTGGTATTGGATCCTGAATAATGAGGTACTGTACTGGGTGTGTGTGTGGCGGGGGGCTTTAAAGAACATTATTGAAACAACTAGCAAATTGGAGTATGGCCTGCACTTTAAAGTACCGTATCAGTGATATATTTCCTGGATTTGATTATTGTACTTTGGTTATATGAGAAAAATATTCATATTCTTAGGAAATTCGCACTTTAAGGATTGATATATGCAATTTACCCTCAAGTGGTACAGAGCAATACATTTTTTTAAAATATATATGTAACATTTAACATAAACCCCATTTCTTTTTTTTTTAAGATTTTATTTATTTATCTTAAGAGG